ACATGCTACAAAGCCTCTTCTGGCAGCAAGGCAGGGAAGTCACTGCCAGCACCAAGGAAGTCGCTCTAAGCAAACGGACCCCACCTTGCTTGGGGCATCTGGGTTTTCTCTCCCCTCCGCCCCTTAAACCCATGTAGGGTGGATGCTTCCCTGCTTTTAATCCTGCAGGTACCACCACGCTCACAGCACCACACTCCCGATTTGCAAGGGGCTGCATGACCCGGCTGGGCAACTCCGCTCGTAATGGGCCGATCAGAGGCAACAGCTGAAAAGCAGACTTTTGGCTCCCCAAAGGCAACCTGAAGGAGCAGCCTGCGATGCAGCCATCAGAGCCAGACCAGGCTCTGTTCAATGCCTCTGACTGGCCCTTTATGAGCTGAGCTGCCCAACTGGTTCGGACAGCCGCTTGCAAACTGGGAGTGTGGTGCCTCTAGGGTGATGGTACCTTCAGGGTTAAAAATGGGGCAGCTGCCAGCCTATGTGGATCCAAAGGGTTGAAGAGGGAGGTAAACCTAGATGCCGCCAAGCAAGGATCCTTGGTGGGTTCCCGCACCCAGCCCTCCTTGCTGCCAGAAGAGGCCCAAGGGCAAAGAAGGAAGACGGGGCCGTGGGTGACTCCCAACAGGAGCTCCGGGGCCCTGAGCTCTAATCTTGCCTCCACCCTGGACTCGTCCTTTCCAAACTGGCTCCATTTGGGATGCTTTCCCTTGGGGATGCCCCGCGGAAGACACCCACCGCGCTCCGACTCCAACCGCACATGGCGCTCAGCACCCAGGAGCGGAAACACGACCCTCTCGCGCCCGCCCGGCAGGAAGGAGGGTCCTGCCTTGCAAACACGAAGCGGCACTGCTGGAACCGGATCGCCCTGGCACATCTCCCACCCTGTGCACAACAGCAAGGCCCTGCCGCCCCCCGGCACCGTTCCCCCGCTGCCTTCGCTCCTGTCAACAGGAGGTAAAGCAGCCAGGAACTGACACCAGCCGTTTGGGCTGAGAAGCACTTAGTGCCTAATCGCAGCGTTTCCTTGTAGCAGCGGGGCAGCCTGCTTTGTTTACTATCTCATGACACAGCGCTCGGTGCCATCTGGATGCCGTACAAAGCAGCGAGATAAATTCGTAGGCAGGGAGGGGAGTAGAGTTTCTCTAACACATTAAAATGCAGCTGGGAGTCCTCAGGAAAGACACCGAGTCCTCCTTGTCTCCCTTCACGCCGACTGCGTCCACGCAGCACCGCCTTCCCGAAGCAAGGGGCCTTGCTAGCCCCCTGCATACGGGCTCATCCTCAGCCCAACTCTGGCAGCAACACACCCTGAAGTCAATTAGAGGAAATTTCCTGCATGCACAAACTCCCCTTCTGCTTGAGAGAGGGGGGAAAAAATAACAACGGAAGAAAAACTCCAGCTCGGGAAAGCTGCAAAAATCAGAAAGCAGCAGCAGGCGATTGCTAGCAGCGTGGGGGGTGGAGAGGGCCTGCAAAAAGAGGAAGCAAGGATGCGGTGGAGAAGAAAAAAAAAAAAGAGATGTGATAAGGAAACGGGTAAGAGCAGCCTCTGCATGAAGCTAAGCCAGGCTGCATGCCTCCAGGTGCAAGCACGCAGAGGCTCAGCCAGCAGGCTGAATGGGGCTGGGAGGAAGGAAATGAAATGCTGTGTGCGTGCGTGGGTGGGCGTAGGTAGGTGATAAAGCTTTCTTGCGCCTCTCAGGCACAGGCCTGGGTTGGGAGAGATGCGCCAGAATGGGGGAGCTCTGAGTCGGTGACGCAAACAGCTCTCTGTGCCACGGATCCAAATGTGATCCCTCGTCTGTAAGAGACGGAGCCAAGTAAAACAAAGGCACAAGGGAAGAGAAGATCCTTACAGGCACAAGACTAAATCCCGTCCTCAGTTAAAGCCAGTGCGGTAGCTCCACTGAAGTTATGAAACGACTTCAGAGTCCCACCCTTCTCGTAAGGTAGAGCGTATCCCAGTGATTCTCAACCGGGTACTCTGGGGTGCCTGGGGATCCTGTCAAGGGTGCTGCAGGGTGCCATGCAATGTCAGCACTGTGAGGTGTGCAAATATGATTCACAAGAGACTTCAAATGAGTGTCAAAAGCATCCTGCCCTGCTGTGGTTGGAGGTCTTTGCAACAGAATTGCTCGATTATTTTTTGTAGTAAAAAAAATGAGTGGAGACAAAGTGCTGAGATTCTCCATGAGGGCCTCGAGTTTAACGAGGGAGCCCTTGAGTCTAAAAAGGCTGAGAACCACTGGTTTATCCCATTAGGCTGGCCCCCAGGATGAATTTGGCGCGGTGGGACAGTTCCTTGGCTGGCACAAACCAGCCCTGCCCAGGCTCACACCAGTTCATGCTAATGGAGTCTCTGGCCCCCTGTAAGTAAAACAAGGCAAAAGCTTGATTTAAAAGCCATAAAAAGTTGCTTCATTTTAAAGAGCAATTATCTAACCCCATCGAATGGTGTATTAGGAATGTTGCTCATTATCCAATCTATTAGGCAACTGGGGATAGTTAAGCTCATTAATGCCAGCACTTAAAGGCACATACTTCCACAGCCTGGAATCACACAGGCCAAGTTAGAAATCAGACTACGCTCAGCCTGTTGCTCTTTTCTCTTGGTCAACTAATATCTAGGGCCGGGAAAGGATTTGAAACCTGGGAGGTCTATTTTCCCTCCAGCTGGTCCTGTGTTGGATGAGGGAGGGCAGCCTGCTGCTGTTTCTTCTCTGCTTCTCCCCTGTGCTGGTTTCCAGCACTACAGGGAAAGCAAAGGCTTCCCAAAGACCCTCCAAACCCCCACCCTATGCTTCTGCTTAAGGGAGGAGTGAGGCACCGTGCCCAGTGGCCACTGCAACTAGAGGTGTAAGATGGTTTGAACCAAAGCCTGCAGAAGACAATGGGGGTGTTTCTGGGCCTGCACAGTCCCAGGGTGAACAAGGAGGTCAGGTGCAAAAGCAACCGGGAGAGCTCGGACACCCCCCACCACTGGTACGCACATTCCTGCCCTGCCCCGGGGCAGTCCAATGCTCCAGTGTAGACACAGCCTCTGTGCTCCTCAACAGGACTTTCCAGTGGGGCCAGCTGTGTGCAACTAGCCCAACAGCAGCTGAATCTCGGTTTACAACAGATGCCGGCTCTTCTGTTTTTTCATCCTAATAACTGCAGCACTTGATGTCATGGGCAATGAGTCAGAAGCAAAGACGGAGGGGGAAGTGGTGCCAAGGGCTTGGAGACATTATCAGAAGGGCTCAGGGAATAGGGAAGAACTAAGTGACGCCTGGCTGCACAATGACTAAGAGCGGACGTCATCCCAGCCTATTACAAGTGTTTAAAAGGTCTACGTGCAGCCGGGAGTGGGGGGTTAGCACAGACTAGAGCTGTGGCTGGGAGAAAACCAGAGGGAAGGAGGGGAGGTCAGGCAACCCATCGGGGGAAAAGATACCCTGCAGCAGGGCAGCACTCTCCAGAGCCACTCCCTGACCTCAGCTGGGTGCTAACCCACTGCACAGACATGCAAACTCTTCTCTTCTGCTGACTCGCCCTGGCCTCCATCAGCTCAGCCAGCAGTTGTCCGAGCAAAAATCTTCGACCGTGCTGGGCAAGAGGATGGTGCTCGAACCATGCGACAAGCCTGGCACCAACTGCAAACTTAGCTGGGACCAACTCCATCCTGCCCGGCACCTCTCAGTGGCCTCTGTTAAAAAATAAAAGCTAAGAGACTGCAGGGGTGGGGGTTTAGCCTTTATATTTATTTTTAAAACACTGCAAGGTCCGTAACATAAAAACAGAACAATCTACCATTCTGGCTTTCCCCCAAGCTGGAGATCATCCAGCCAATATTTGAACCCTTGTCTTCTAGCATTGCTGGTGCCTATCAGTCAAAGAACATGAGAGATTTTTAAAATTGTGTCCTGGGACAATGTAAAATGAAGGAGCCTCAAACAACCGACACACAGTGCCCATGCTCCATGAAGATCCCGAGATGTATGTGCTTAAATAACCACTTAAAAAAACAACCCGCAAGTACTATAAATATAAAAAAAAACATTTTGTGTACTTGCACAGTAAAGTTAAAACTGTTAGCAGCTCAGTATTATTCTGCCAGCGGGCAATGCTGCTTATGCTCTTATCATGGTTTTAAAAAGGTCCCCTGAAAACCTTTCCTACAGGGTTAAAGTCCAAAGAGCACCAGAGGTCATTAAAAAAAAAAGTCACCTTCTTCTCCTGGAGGTAAATAGTTTTTGAACAAGTACAAAAGTGCCTCAAGCCCTGCCTTGCAAAGTGCTTCCTTGAGTCTCGATGCTCAGAGAAATGGTCACTTGTTCCTTGTTACAGCCACAGACAGCAGAGAGAGCAAGTCCCCTCTCAGGTTGAAGCACCGTGGCACTTACTCTGTATCTCTGCTTCCACTCGCCCCGCCAGGTGGCTGCCGACACGCCGAGATGCCTTCATGTTCTTCCATCTGTTCTCGGAGCAGGTGGAATAACCTCAGAGGCCACCTTGCCTTATGGGCATGTTTCAAGCAATCCACAACCTCCCAAGCAGCCTATGGGGGACTGTCAGCGATCCAGATGTTGCGCCTTCTAGGAGCAATTGCAAACTTGTTCTTGGGACAATGTTGCTTTCATGCACAAGGAGCACGTTCTGTCAACCGTGCTGGTGATTCTCCGTGGCAATGAATGACCAGAATGGGGATTTACTTCCTATGCTGTTTGGCATGATGTGTTTTGATATCAAAAGTGAAACGTTTAACATCCTGAAATCGTAGGGTCTGTGGGTCATGGGCAGATCAAGTTAATTATTAAACCTTGGCCGTGGTAATGTAAATGCCCAACAGCTTCAAAGATAGCACATAAATCAGACTTTATAGTAAGATTTAACTGAGGGGGGAGGGAAGGGTTCTGATCTCTCTATCCACACACAGTCTGCAATATCATATTTTTCTTGATCTACAAGACGGCAAGTCAGTGTTGTTTTAATTATACCAGAGCCAAAAGCATGTTACGTTTAGTTGTAATTGGCCCTATGCAAGATAGTTAAAAAGCCACTAATCCGATTTGGTTGTTTTTGCATTAAGTGTTAATAGGATTTGAAAGCAAGACAAAGTATGGAACAGGGAGCTCTGTCCAGAAGGGAAGGATGCTAGGAGTGGAAGATGTATTTCCAAATCTACACGCAGAATCACAAGGGTAGAAGGATCATTCAGAGCTGGGGGCACAACTACTTCCATGCTGGGCTGGTGGAAACGTGGATCCTCCTGCTATCTGAGGTGCACCATCGACAGAAGGAAATGGAAAGGTCTGGTTCTGGAGCTGTGAATTCTGCTGCACCAGTGCCTCCAGCTGATGAATCAGAGACAATGCTTCCTCTATGGGGCCACCTGGGTGGGAGTCTCCAGTCGCAACGGGATTTTGGAGGTGCAAAACAGCAGAAGACTCGTGGGAATCAGACTGAACCGGATAAAACATGATTGATAACTGGGGAACAGCACACATGTTGGCGTCGAAGGCAGCACTGCCACCCTCCTCATCAGGACAACAGGACCATGGATGCAACAGTCCAATATCCCAGGTCTGGGAGGTGTCTGGTGCTACAACCACCTGCAGCTCCCTTGTCACACCCTGCTGCTCTCCACCAGCTTCCTGATGCACGCACAAGTGGCCAAGTGAATGGAGAGCCCCATTCTGGATATAGTGGTTGGCTTCCTCCCCTCTGGTTTGGAGGCACGGAGAAGCAGACGCCCCAAACGACGTCTCTTCGTGTAAGCCGTCACCTGCTGCCACATCAAAAGTGAACATATTCTCAAATGTTAGGAGCTCGGGGCCATGAGAAATCAGTGGGGAACACTCACTGCTAAACAGCAGCTTGCTCAGGGGTGCGGGGGCCAGCTCCTGTTTGCTCCCAGGACTCTGTGGTGCAAATGCAAAGCATTCGGTCACGAGGTCGGTTTTAAAAGTAACTTTCTTCCTTTTGGTTCCCGTCGAGAGACTGGGCTTTAGGCTGCTTGCAGGGGCCTTTCCAGGAGCAGCCTTTGGGAGGATCAGCCCTAATAATAAACTAGAATGATTTGCTTCAAGACCTATTAAAAGACAGAGAGAAACAATGGAATTAAAGAAGGGTTTCCTCCTCTCCCCAGCATCCACCCCTCAGCAACGTTTGCTGGAATCTTCCTAACTTTGGGCCAAATCCTTGCTTTTTGTTCAGCGCATACTGAGATAACCCTGCCCCAAGTTGCCTCATATTCACGGATATTTTTACCTATGCTAGCTAGGACAGGCTGGCCTGTCTTACAGCTCTGACTGAAACCCTACAACAGGAAATCCAAGGTTTTTCAGGTACACCAATACATGCATGCACAAATGTTTGGGGTGCAACTTTAAAGGCTGCTGTAGAAAAAAAAAATCCCCCCTTTGTTGTTTTCAGTGTTTTATCCCCCAGCAGGTCAGCAGCAGACTCAATCAATACGCCAGCCTGGCTGGTGAATGAGGTGCTTCTTCCTCCAGTGGCAAAACACTGACACTAATTGTATAAACTCACTTTAAGTAAGTAGATTTGCGTCAATGCTGTATGCAAACATGCCATGTCCACCCAGCTGTGACCTGAGGCAGACCATAGCTAAATATAAGGTGGTTTTGCTATGATTTGCAATCCCAGTTTGTAGCTGAAAACAACAGGCAACCCATTTCTAATGGCTCGGGTGACATTGAGAGGGCACGGTGCAGGGACAGCTCAAGGGAGCTCTATGTATGGTACCCCTGTACCGCATCAACACACCTCTAGTCTCCTGCCCTGGGGTGATGGCAGCCCTCTCCAAGGTCCGGATCAGGAACACAAACACTTATAATTAGAATGATGTGCTTCTCTGCAAGGACTGAGCTCCCACCTCGCTGAGCGGAGAACCAATTTGGGGTCAGTAACCAAAGGACTTGGCTGCTTCCTTAAAGGGGCTTGGCCAGCGATGATTACTGGAAACTCCGATCAGCTGCCAGCCTGCACTGAAGTATGCACCGAGCGTGATCCCGACAGGGGGATTATATGAAGTTACATCATGTGAGAGATTAGCAGCGGCCCTGACAAACAGCATTTCACATGACGAGGAGCTGTATGGAAAGACCCAGTGCTGTGACAGGGGTTACATGAGTTTACATTACACTTTATCAGCATGCAAGCTCCAGACCTTTTGTCAGCTGTGTGTGTGGTAGCTACCTCAGGGCATGTGATGTGGAGCTGTGCAGGGAAAGGAAAACACCATGTGACATTGGGCCACTCGGGTTTACTACACTCGATTCACTTTTCCCTGACTCTCAGTTTTTGCTAGTGTAAATCCATGGACTTTGGTGGATTTACTTCTGATAGACAGTCGCCTGGCGAGAACCAGGCTCCTCCTGCCCATGTCATGTTTCAAATACGATGAGAAAATGCTCTAGATGACCAGGTACAGCTACGCGACTTTAAGTGCTTGTTATCACACAGCAAGGACACAGGCAGGAAGTGTTTCCTGCTGCCCTGCATAACTTGGCCTTTTCAAGTTTGATATTCTTTGGGAAATAATTACAGCCTCTTGTGTGTCTAATACCTTGTACAGCCACAGATGACTTTAAATTATTTACAGCACTGCCAGCCCTGGTCTTCAATCAAAAGGAAGCAATGTTACTTCACCCAGCTTGCTTCCAGTCCCTACCTGGGCCTCCCTGGGGGTGGAATTTGGCAGGAACTGGCTGGAAGGCTGGCAGAGGCACCAGGAACATTTCCATCTGCTTGCTGTCCACAATGCCATATCTCTGCTTGTTGTTCAAATATGTATAGAGCATGTTGTAAGTGCCCATGGCCTGGGCCACAGCAGGGTAGAATCGTATCACACTCATCTGCTAAGCAAACAAAAAGAGATTGGGACGTTTTGTGGGTTGCCCGAAAACACAATGCGGCGACCAAAGTTCAACGAACAGTAAGTAAGTGCTGTAAAGAAAGAGACTGGCTAACACAAGGATACTTAGGCCACAGACCAGAATGGGCTCAAGCTTAATCTCATTTCAGAGAGGAGCTCCAATTCCCTTATATCATCCAGGCACTGCAGCGGAGGAAAGGGAACAGTGTGTGTCTCCCACTGGTCCACTGCATGTCTCAGGACCGGGCCCTAAACACTGTACAACTTGTACTCAACACGTGCAATGATATAATGTCACTTGCTTCAGCTGAATCAAAAAATCCCACCCGACCACTAAAACAGTCCAAACCACACAGCCCTGTTGGTGGATGTCAGCGCAGCTCTGGGGAGCAGATGTGGAGCACACAGCAGCAGCAGCCATTTCAGCTGCGTGAATGCAGGCAGCTTCTGGCAGCTGACACCCCCGTTCTGCTCCCATAATGTAAGGTTCGAGAGTTACTATTGTACCAGCTCCAATATTCAGACCTCTGGGTGGGTACTGGCCCACACACGGACAGAACCAGGACATGCTTGCGAGGCAGTTTCTCCCACAGAAAATTATCCTCAGCAGCACCCCAAAACTCAATCCTTTTGAAAGGATACCTTGGCTTCAGCTGGCCAGATGCTGTCTAAAAAATCCCAGACGTCCTCCGGGAGAGTACAGCCCCTGGACTGGATCTGTGCTGGTAGAGCCTGCACAAACCAAAAGGGCAAGCATATTAAGATTAGTCATTAGTTGACAACCTGCAGACTTATTCAGGACCTACTCAGGGACCCTCCTATTGAGACTGTTGATTGTTATGGCCAGGGGTGCTCAACCTCCGGCCCATGGGCCAAGTCTCCCCCATGGAGCCATGGCATCTGGTTGTGGGGCTCCCTAACAGGTTGGGAAATATGGCAGTAGGGAAGCAAAGGCATTTAATACCACCACTCCCCTCACTGCCAAATTCCCAAGTCCCCCATGACAGGTTGGAGCCAGGTCATGCCCTCTCTCCCTCTGCATGGCCAGACTGGAGCTGAGCCATGCCCCCTTTCTCCCTGCATGGCCAGGGTGGGACTGGGTCACACTGCCTCTCCCCACAGGGCTGAACTACACCCCCTTTCATCCATGCAGCTGAGTCAGGGCCAGAGCATGCAGCTGGCTCGAGTCATATCACCTGCCCCCACTTGCAGGGCTGGGCCAAGTCCCTTCCCCCACACAGCTGGACTGGGACCAGGTTGCCCCCAGCCTCCTTCGCATGGATCAGGACCACCAGCTGGATCCAGCTCGTGGACGGACCAGGCACCGCCTATCCAGCCCTCTGGGCAAAAGTTAAGCACCACTGGTTATGACTATTATCGCTTACGTTACCAGATATAAAGCCACCTGAAGCATGGCGTCAGTGTATGCGTAATGTGGTTTAGATCAAAAGCAAACACTGCAACTTGAACCTTTTCTGAGAGGCCTCTTTTGATCCTTCTAACCAGACAAAGTATTACAAGGAACCATCCTGCACAGGAGCCGAGGGCTGTATTAGCTGCTATAAGTGGTCTTTCCCTGCTTTCATTTCCACAGTTCTACTGTTCCACTGCAGTAGCACAAAAACGGAGATCCTTTTAAGTCCTATTTGTCGCATCTGCGGGGGCATACGTGGAGCAAACTATAAAAGCTCTCAAACCACTGCAGATCCCAAAAGTACTTAACTCATCCCAGGACATTCACCCTTTTTCCTGATCTCCTTCATCAGTTCCTACTTAAAGTCCTGTTAGCTTCATTCACTGCTGATGGGAGGAATGGCCAGGTAAAAACTGTGCAAGGACTGCAGGACTGGGCACTAGGATTTTAAACTGCTCAAAAGGACAAGTGAAATACTTGAGCTGTGGTACACAGCCCCTGGAACACCACAGGCAATAGATTTCATATACATTAGGGCTGGAAGGGACCTCGGAAAATCATCGAGTCCAGCCCCCTGCCCAAAGGGCAGGAAGTCAGCTGGGGTCATAGGATCCCAGCAAGATAAGCATCCAGTTTGCTCTTGAAGGTGTAAATAGGGGAGGGGGGGCATGTTTTATTAACAAATGCAGTCCTACTGATGCAGAGAAGAGTTTCTCCTTCCCATTGTATAACAGAAAACAAGGCTCGTACCTGAACGAGGTGGCTGCCGTAGCCTGAAACTGGATACGCTTTGGCTAAAAACTCTTTGATGCTGAACATCTGAATGGATCCTTCCCACAGCACCGTGCTCTTATCCAGGGGCTTCTGCAGCCTCGGCTCCTTCCTGAGGATGCCGGAGGAGACAGGCCTACAAGAAAGCAAGAGGGATTTGCATGTGTTTTGTAGCAGAGCCATCCCTGCAGATCTGTAAGATCTGTGTCATACCCATGTTAGTCCTTTTTCCCCTGAGTAATGCCACCCCTTTTCCTGCATGCTCAGGACCCTACAGCAGGGAAAAGGAGTTTGCTGGCTGGCCTAGCTGGGACCTCTCTTCTGTCTTGTAACACATAAATCAGATATACGAAATATGTCCAGTATCTCCCCCACTGGACAGAGAGATCAGAACTCAGTCCCAGCTAAAGGACCTATACATGCTCCTTCCCCCACCCATCTCCTCTTGATAAAGGCCTCAAAGGCTACGGACTAAGGGCAACAGGGAGGATGAGTAACAGGTATGAACTCTATTCTCCAGACCCATCTGTTATCCCCATCCCTCAAGGATGTAAAGTGCTTCTGCCATGGTACTATTTTACTATATATATGCATGTGTGTAATATATATATATATTACCTTATATTACCTTATATATATAGATATATATATATAAGGTACATGATACATCTATTGACTCCTCTGTGTAATCCTATGAAATATGAACTTTCACTTCTACCCAAGATCACTTTTACAATCTTTTCTCCAATGTCTGATGAAGGGTGTTTGTGCCCGAAAGCTTGCAATTAAAGAATTTTTTTGCAAAAATCTTGTTGGTTTAATAAAAAATATCACCTCTACCATGAACCCTGATTACCTGTGCCATGGTATAACAATCACTGTATTAGATGGGACAAATGGTCCATCTTGTTCAGCATCCAGCCACCACCTGATGCTTTAAAGTGAGGGAAACCCCCACCCCATCCCAGTAAGGTAAGGAGCCAAACACTGAAAGGGCATGCTGTTTGCCCTGAAGCCGCTGGTAATTGGTTTAAGCCAAGAAGCATTGGTTTGGATCTGCCTTTGGATCTTTCAAACTCATGGTGTGGACAATGGGAGATGTATGGGCACTTTTAGAAGCTGGTGAAGAAGTGAAGACAGCCACATCCCATTGATTTCAGGTCCTTCCTGCTAATTCCTGGTGGAACTGCCCGCACTCAGCTTTTTGCACCTCATTAATGTTGGGTACTTCTTACTCAGCACCTGGGCTCAGCCAATGCTCAGGCGTTTACACCTCTTTAAGACTGGTTATCTTGTTACTCAGAGCACTTCACCCTGCAACAGCACCTCTGAATGGACTGGACCTGGTCCCTTGCACAGCTCAGCAGCTCAGGTAGCAGTACCTGGGCACCCCACATTTTCCGATTGCCACAGGAATCTACTACTTACAGTTCAGACTGAACTAGGGAAAACCAAAAGGCAAATCTTGGCCTCCCCACTCCCACACTGACCTCTTGTTCTCCGAGTGTTGGCTCCGTCTGGCTGAACAGACTCTGGTTGAATGTAATTTTCTGAAGAGCTCTGCTTCCTTCTTCCGAGAGAGCGATTTGTTCCTTGATGGGTTAAACCCTTCTTCGCCATTAGGGCCTGGCTCTGCTGTAAAGTCAAAGGGAAATGGGATGCTTCTGTGCCCTCTGAGCACATTCATCTCTTACAAAATGGCTTTCCAATTCAAGCAGAAGGGATGAAATACAAACTGCCTTCGAACTGACACTATTTATCCCATCACACAACCTGTCAAGTTCCCCACATTGATGCCTTTAAATTCAGGGATTTTAAAGCTCGCTCAGTCTGGGTAGTTCCAGGCACCATTTTATTCTCCGGTCTGCAGGCTCACTCCCTGGGCACTCTTGTCTGATGCCCTTCTCAGAAGTGGTCCCCAGTGGTCCTGTTGCCTCTGGGCTTTCTCTGCCCTTTGCATCTGTGTGTTTTTAAAACCCAGCACTAACACCTGCAGTCCCCTGTTCCTGCTCTTCACTCCTTTCCCCTGCAGACAAGGGCTAAAATCAGATATGGGGGTTTATCCCAAGACTGACTGTCCCAGGCTGTTACTCCCAGCAAAATAGGTCTGGGACAGTCATTTACACACCAGTTTGAATGGCAACTAACTCAAATTAGCCTCTACTGCGGGGGTGGGCAAAATGCAGCCCGCCAGGCCATTCTATCCAGCCCACGGGGTCCCTAAAAAATTTAGAAAATTAATATCTATCTGCCCCTGGCTGCCTGTCATGCGGCCCTCAATGGCCTGCCAAAACTCAGTAAGCAGTCCTCCATCTGAAATAATTGCCAGCCCCTGCTCTACTATCCCAGGGCAAAGTGTTAATTCAGATACTTCACTGGTACTTAACCAGGGACAATGCACTTGCTCATCTGTAGGATCCAAGGATAAAAGGCTTGCCCCACCTCCCGGAAGTCTAACATCTGTTTTTAGCAAACTGGAGTGTAATGATTTTACCCCACTTTTGTCCTGCTATGGTACGGCTCATTCACTGTGTATATATCAGCAATCCCTCCCAGTCGAGGATGACTGTCTTGCATCACTGCTTTATCTGTAGCTCTGAAGATGGCTGACAAGGCTGATCAGGGATTGACAGACTCTGTTGCTAGCTCATTCATTAGTTAATAGTCCGTAAGCATCATCCCATTCCAAGGTAGACACTCAAGCACCAGGTGCCACCCGCCCCCCGATTTAATACGAGGAGTGTGAATATAGTAAAGACAACCTGAAGAGCATAAAGTTAATAAACACAGTTGGAATTCCCCAGTTATACGTAGAGGGGTGTAGGGTGTAGCCGGGCAGGTCTAAGGACATAGGCAGACAAGGTTCTTTGGGAGGATGTGATATCTTTTATAGTTGGTCTAATAAAAGATATCAGATTCACCTAAAGAACCTTGTCTGCCTAAGTTATACATAAAAGGCAAGGCTCTTTGCGTAGATGTGATCTCTTTTATTAGACCAACTTCAAGTCTCTTGCTATGCCTGAAGAAGGGTGACTGCACCAGAAAGCTTGCTAAGAACTTTTTTCCAACTACTCAGTTGGTCTAATAAAAGATATCAGATTCACCTAAAGAACCTTGTCTGCCTATGTCCTTAGACCAGCACAGCTACAACCAAAAATCCAGCAGCATGTAAGTTATACACAGGTGCCTCAAACTGTCCCATAGCCAAAGATAGCATTTACCCAGGATACCAGCAAACAAAGTCTCAGCTATACTGCACTTGCTGTTTATGTGCCATAGACTTATCCCAGCTGCCAGCATCTGGCATGGAACAGGCTGGGACTAAGAGGGAGGAGAAAAGGGTGCTCCCCTCTCTCTCTAGTCTTAGCGTGAGTCCCCATGACTTCTTTCACACTATTTCTCTGTGCTTGCTCATATAGGTGTTTTTATAGGTGAACTTAGTGACTAACCAAGAACACTAGCTTGGACTAGGTATTCCAAGAAGATACTACTGCCCTGGCCAGAAATGTTCCTCGTTGGGACACTTGAATAAAACGTATCAAATTGTTAGATGGATTTGTGATGTGGAAAAAGGTTAACTTCGGGAAAAATGTAAGCTCTCAGGCTAAGCGATGGGATCCTTTCTCCCAGCTTACTTACCAGTACAGATATGGCAATCCAGGTCCAGTAAGTGACTTTTATGCTGGTCTGTGGTGTCTTTCTCAGACTCTGTAGCAGACTGGGGAATTGGCAGCATCTCCATACATAACACTGATTCCTAAAGGAAGTGTTCAAGTTATCCGTGTGTACAGGTAGGACTTTATTCGTACTCAGGCTATGCCCTTTAACAGTGTTATTGGAAGTAATGACTCAGTATCCATTCACACTCTTCTCATTCACCCCCTGGTTTCACCCATGGTCCCAAGACAGGGCAGGAGGAGGCCAGCATGGCACGGGGCAATTCCTAGGCTCACTCTAGTAGATGTTGCCTTCCATCTTTCAACGAAGCCTTCAAACCACAGTCCAAACCAGGCCTCTTAGCAACGAACTGTCGATTAACCATAACCTTTTGCTGAAATGATGGAGAGACACCATCTACATACCACAGAACATCCATCCCCTTTATAATTAATCCAAATGGTTCAACACATTTGTACAGGAAGAGACTGATTTAGTAGCCCATAGCTCCACCAATGTCCTTTTTAAAAACAAACTGGGCGAGGGGATACAGCACTGACCCGGACTCATCACAGGTCAGATAAGCAGCAGCATGTAAGCTTCCTTATCTCAATGGCCTGAAGTCATCCTGCATTCCTCTCTGTAAGCCCTCACCCCTATTGCACAGTGTTTTTAGGAAGGCTAATGTCTTCATTAGATTAGCACAAAACCATCCATCTTGTTTTTATCATAACTTCAGGATCTGAACAGGAGAGTCCAATGGAAAAAAACAGCTTTATGCTAACCCACTGTCCATTAGTCAGCCTGTCACACCAACCAACCCACTGCACTGAAAACCATTTGCACAAAGAGTCAGACACCAGCAATTGGCATTTTAAGCTTCAGTGAACGAGATGGTTTCAAACAGTTAGGACTTCCCCTTGCCTCTCCCTTTATATCTTACCAGGCAGGACACTGAGTAAATTTACACTGCTCAAATACTCACAAACAGGTCTTCCAAGGTGACGTTCTCTTCCATCTCTCTGTGTATCTCTAGTTCTCCTTTGTGGGTCAGTTTTGTGGAGCAACGCATTGGTGCTTCTTGCTGCTGTTTCTCTATCACCTCCAGCACCTGGAAGATTCACTCTGAAGTGTATGGGCCCCAGAGGGCATCTTTCGGTTGCAAAAATACATTTTTTAGAACTGACAGAGGTAAAAACCAAAATGAAAACGCAGTGTCTGAAGTCATGCATTCCCGCACCGAGCCCTGTGCATGCCGAGAAGAGGCAGTGCGTTACTGCAGCCTGGCTCGCCAGCCGTGGCTCGTGGGTGCTGAGCACCCACTAATTTTTTCAGTGGGTGCTTGAGCCCTGGAGTACCCACGGAGCTGGTGCCTATGCCCCAAACTGTCCAGTGCCCAAGAGTCATCCTTCCTCTCTGCATCTCAAGTCTGACACTGTTAAGGAGTCTCTCACTGTTAATAAAAAAGGATCAGTTATGTAAACCTCACTGCACCGTACAAGGGAAGCCAATGGTTAGCAAGCTCCCTGTCGCAGCAGTGAGAAGAGCGGTGCACCGTTCTGTGATCATGCTTTTATAAAAAGTTACAAAAAAGATTAACAGATTAGGAAGAGGCAAAGCAATCAAAGCATCAGGCCTCTCAACTGATCTGGAGTTAGAGCCCCTAAGTAGCACAGAGCAGCTATGACTTTGGCTTAGGTCATCTGCATTACTGCCAGTCCAAGGGATGGGCACGTCACAACCGCAAAGGCCTGACATTGCAGCTGCAGTGGACTGACTTACCTGCTTGTGCTCCCTGGCTCTCCACTCTGCCAACTCCTTTGGTGCCATCTCCAGGGAATTCATTTGAACCAGGCGCTGTGGCGTCACCTCACCAAGAACCACCTGCTGGAAGAGGAGCTGAAAGCACAGAAAACGGTGAAGCAAAACAAAGGCTGTCTGCAGTCAGCTCCGCTTCCAAAGATCTCCCTCTTTCCATCCCCTGCTAAATAGGTATTTCAAAGCCTTTATCACATTACTCGGCAAAGTCGTCTAAACTCCCAGCAGGGCTCAAGTGCAGATGGGTTGTGTCATGCCAGAAATTATATATGGGTCTGAATTTCCCCAGACAGCAGCTTCAGATGATAGCTATGTACACCAAGGCAGGCCCAATTTCATACGCTGTGCAGCAGATACCCAGGTGGGTGGAACCGAACAAATGTCTTTACCTGTCTGTAGGCAGGGTACGGGCCACTGGTGATGAACAAGGGTCTACTTAACTCACAGCGAGATAAAGCAATTTTCACAGCTTGGTTGCAACACGAGAGCTGATTTTGCAGCATTTCCCAGCAGCCCCGCCCCTCGCAGCTGATTGGCAGAGAGGCGTATACCGTATAATTTGGTTGCAAATTGCGTGAAAAGTAAATTATGTCATATAATTTAGCATATTATTATAAATCTGAATATTAAATTTAAATCTCAGTGTAAATATATTATCAACATAAATGCATATATAATAGGAATGGTAATTCATATCATAAGCATTTATGATTATATGTAGTGTTCTACAAAATGTTTAGAAATACTAATGAATGCTCACCCTAATAGAAACATTTTCGCTTCACTGACTGGTGCCTTCACTTCAGTCCATGTCACTGGCAGACAGTAACTCTCACTCACGTGATCTACAGCTGCAGCGATTGTCGCGTTGTCTTTGTATTGCGGTAAATATTGGGATGTGTTAAAACAGTGTATTTTATGAATACGCCGGGGGAGGAGTTTTTAGGTTGTTTCATGAGACATTGCAGCCAATGCAATATTTCCTGGTGATTGCGGACAATGCCGTTTTTCACGAAATCCACAAAACCGTGAATTAAGTAGACCCCTAGTGATGAATTAAGAGGTGCCTTGGTACCCTACATAAAGTTTCTAAGGGTCACGGGGGGGGTCCAAGAGCGGGATGCCTAGACATATTGTAATGCAGCCTTCTTCCAGCAGCAAACAGAATGAGACTAAGGCTGGAGCATTTCTCTCTGTGCTCAGGCCTCTTGTTCTATATATACACATGTTTAAAGACATCTGTCCACCACTTCTCATTTAATAATGCAGAACACTGGCAAAAGAGTATTGGAAAGCATTTGGCAGCCTGTCTCCATCTGTTACCTTGTTTTTTGGTGCTCGCAGGTTGAAGAGGAGACTGCGGTACTTGTTTTTATAGCGCTGGTCAACACAGAGGAAGAGGCGGAATATTTCCTTCTCGATGTTGTTTGCTAATCTCATTATCGTGTCTTCGGGGACATCCAGATCAAGAGATTCCTCCAACCTGGAGCACAGTAAGCAAGAACTAGACGGACATATCAGCGCGGCTTGCTACCTGGGAACTGATTTCCAAACCGGCATGCTTTCTTCAGTTAAAACTCCAAACAAATGGGCCTGAG